ACACACACACACACACACACACACACACACACACACACACACACACACACAATCAAACACGTGCTCACACAATATCCATCCCATCTTTGTCATTAACGGTTTCCTGTCATCGTCTTTTGCCTCTGCAGCCCCTCATATTACAGGTAACATCCAAGTTTGTCACGTTGCGTAACTTTTCGGATAAAAAGAAAAAAAGAAAGGATCGAAAAGAAAGAAACTGTCATCTTTTATCCCTTGTAGAAATCATATTTTTAAATATGTTTTTGTGATTTTTTGCCCTTACTTATCGAGTTGTTTCTACTTTCACAACGTTTGTTATGACTGTACAAAATGTCACTTGTTACAATTCATTCTTTTTTTCAATAGGAAACTGACAAAGATTTTGCAAGGGCAGTTTCTGGCTGGATATAAATATCAATTATACCGCAAAATGTTTTGAGCTCCACAAACTTTAATAAAAAGCAGTTATGTATTCTCACGTTCACCCATCTGGTCTCTTTTTTAAAAACTTTTAAGACTAACAGAGACAGAATTAGGATTCAAAGTGATGATGAATCCCTTTATGGTTTGATTTTTAGAAGAAAAAAAAATTAATAACAACAGGATTCGATCATAAATTGCACGGCCACCCGGAAAAAACAATGCATGTCACTCTATTGCATGTCGTAAGGATTTATCTTTGAAAGCATAGAAGTAATATTTAAGTAGTAGTTATCAAATTTATCACACTTCAAAATTTCAACAGTTTCCAAATCTTTTTTAATAAGTCGTTTATAGGATAGATAGTTACTGTTTTACAGGTATTGTATTCCATTACAGCTATTTAATATATATTGCAGGTAAAATGCCTCTACCAAAAACGTACGATACAAAGATGTTAATTAAGTATTAGATAATACGATTGCCCGATTGGCCAAGAATTTTGTCAGAGTATTCATTTTGTAATCTTTTTTTAAAGCTATATTAAGAAATACCTAAAATATTTCTTGTGCGAATTGCTTTTGAAAAAAACTTTTATTCCACAGGTTTTTTAAAATCTATTCATACATCAATCAGTCCATGAAAACATCCTCTGGTCTTTCATGTTAACGACCAGCCAATCACTTCATGCCTTCCTCCATTCATCTTTTCTTTTAAGAATAGATTTGTCAATGCTTTAAATAAACTCACAAATGTACCATTCATCGATAAGTTGCCTCGTATTACCATATATACATAATTATCTGTCCAGCTCTTGGCTCATTCATTAGCCAATGTGTGCCCATAACGTGTTTGTTAATACTATCTACTAACCATCCTTTCCCCGCCCCCTTCCCTTCTCTTGTCTACAAATCCTTGAACCGCCCCCGTCCCTTCCCATCTTCTCTATCCATCCCTTTAAAAAAAATGAACGCTTACTCTCTCTCTCTCTCTCTCTCTCTCT